GAAGGGGCCAAAGGGGATGCTGTGGAGGACATGTGTAGGTGTGGGTTCACAGGACACTTCCACTCCCAAGTCAACTAGAGCAACGCGATCCTTACCAGATCACTCCTCCTCTACCAAGGGACAGGGTGACCCTTCCTACAGATAACAGAGCTGGGTCCATCCTCTCTCGTGGAGCCTAACCACACTGCTGCAGCACTTTGCTTTCAAATATGTGTCCTTCCCTACTCGCCTGTGAACCCCTTGAGAGCAGAGACCACCTGTTGGCATAGAGCCTGGCATTTGGTTACCATCTGATAAATAGTTTTGAAATGAATAAGTGGACTTTAAGCAAAAAGGATCCGGAAACCACATTAATATTATATATTAACAGAATAGGAACTTTTTAGCTAAATGATCCTATAGTTACTGACTCTACTGACAAGTAATTTGGAGCCCTTACAGAGTCACATGAAGACATTTTTGATGTGGGTTTTGTTCTTAGTCAGTTAGAAGGAGAGATTAGGTCATCTGAAAGGCTTTCTTTCAGGTTTCGTCTGTGAACCCGAACACTGAATGATTAATGGAATTATATTTGGAAACTGCCACTTCAATGACTTATAAAAATCGAATGATTTAATATCAGGTTAACCATGGAGATAATGGAGGCACAGAGGAGATTATATCTGAATAAGAGATTCTGACAGGGTCAGTGACAAATCCAGCTGCTTCCAAGTCCCCCCACATTCAGAGGTTTCTGCTTGGATTCTATTAGGAAAGTGAGCGGGTATGATAGAGAAGTGAGCTTAAACTGTATTGCTTGAAGGACCCTCGTAAGGAGAGTTCCACACCTCTTGCCACTTTCCATGGACATACTGATTTGGGAATAAGTGTTTTGACAATGTGGATTTCAATCTAGAATGCTACCGCATTGGAGGGAAAGTTCTTCACCTCCACATTTGGTAGAGAGTTGCTCTGGGAACTTGGCCATGAGACACCTGGAAATTTCTTTCATCAACAAACATTTATCAAGATTTGAAGAGCATGAGCTCTTACCACCTGAGATTAATTATTAAAAGGCATGTTTACAGATGGGCGTACTCATGGTAGCAATATGGAGCACAGAAACTGGAGTCAGAATGTCTGAGTTTAAATCTTGCTTTGTGACTAGGCTACTCAAATCTTCCGAGGCTTAGCTGACTCACACCCAGAACGGACTCCATCATCCTCTTCACTGGGCTTTTGAGAATACTGCCTTCTATAACGTATATGATGCACCTAGCAGTAGGCTGGCAACTTGTCAAGCACTCAGAAAATATCAGTTGCCTTTCTTCCTTTTTGAGTGATGATTTGTTTACTGGGAAGAAAACAAAATGCAATACCTAGTACTCAAGGAATTTACAATATAGTTGCTAAAGCAAAGGTCATACCTACAAAAGATATATAGCTACACATACCTGGGTAAGATAAACATCTAGCTGACGGTATGATCTGCAGTGCTATGCGTGTAAAAAGAAAGTGACTATCACAGGAGGAGGCAGCAAGGGAAGGCTTCCTGGAAGAGGCAGAATTTGAGCCAGAGCTTTGAGAATGGTGGGTTGAGATGAAGAGAGGAGTGGGTAGAACCAGTCAATCCAGACAGAAATAAGAGAAGTAAATAGTAAAAATGTACAGGGCAAATTCTGGGAATATGCACAGACTGGTATTGCTGGAAAAGTTTATTGAAATAACTAAACATAAGGCTTTTGGTAAATGGTAATAGGACTTTAAAAGCTGGGCTAGAAAACTGTCTTTATCTGGTAGCTAATGGAAAGCTGGTAAAGGTCTCTGAGCAGGAGAGAGCATGGGCAAATCATATCATCTAGAAAGCCTGTGAGTCTACACCATTCACTCTAGTGTTATGAGCCATGCTGCTGTGAAAAAGTCCCTTTCATTACGCAAATACTCAGTAAATCACTGAAGACCCACTGCAGAACTCCAAGGAAAACATTTTATGAATCAAAAGTTAAGTACAATATGTTAGCAATTAAATGAGATAACATAATAGCCGATGCAGAACCATGGCTTTTCCCCACCACGATTTCAAGCTGCTGCAGAAAGAAATGCTTATATCATCTTCCAAGTTATCAAGCCATTTCGTTTTTATTTTCGGAAGGCAAGGAGAGGAAACAAGAAGAGTGGGGAGGTCAAGAGGATTCAAAGCTGTCTATTCTTTAATCAGAAGGCATTATTAAGGAGAGCCAGAAAGGAGATTTGCTCAAAACCAAACCTGCCCGGGGATGGTGTTAAGTTACTGCCACTTGCTTCCACTGCAGAGCAACAAATGAAGGTGTGCAGTTGGGAAGGAAAGTCCCCCAGGCCGCTGCGGAGGTTTCCGGTGCGTACCTCCCACTGCTACTTTATTTACTGCAGCTGGCCAGCGTTTATAGCCTGTTTCATGTATTAAAATTCAAATGTGGAAAACATTACCAGGATCCTCCTTGAATTTTTTTGTTGTTGTTGAGGGGGATGGGTTTTTTTTTTCTCTTCCCCTTCAACTTCCTTTTTATTATGGAATGCATCAAATGGTCAAAGGCTAACTTCAGACTGACTAAATGCAAAAACTATTTCCTTTGTTCTTAGGTTTTTGTTTGAAAAATTATACCAGTTTGCACAAGAAAATGACAATGCAATCTCGTTCACACACGTGATGGAGTTTCAGGTGGAAGGGCCCGGATTCTGGGGGCCGCTAACTATTTCTGAGGAGAAAGACCACACAGCCCCACTTGGTTTAAAGGACAGCAGGTTGTGGCCATGTCATGTCTCTGGAGTTGCTCTCCTGTCTGGGGGTCTGTGGTTGTCCTTGATGGGATCATAACTGTCTCCAGAGGAGCGGGCAAGAACTTTTCCTCATCAGCAAAACTAGCCGCTTTATGGCTTCTGCACAGTTTTTCAAAGTGAAAGACACTCCTGTGTAACACAAGCTGATTAGTTCTGCTTTTCTCTCCTTCCCCTCCACCTGGGTCCACCCCGCTTCCCATCTCCAAAGATGATTCTAGTCTCTTCCGATCCCACCTCTGAGTCAGCCTCAAAGAGAAGGCAACTCAAAGGTCACACAGTTCCAAACAGCATCTATGTATAGTTTATTATTTTAAAGAACCACTTAACCTACATCTGGTATTTAAGAGCAAACTTTACATATTTGTGGGGAAAAACAGCTCTGAAGCAATGCCCTGGGTGCATGTGGCGTCCGTTTAACATATGCAAAACGAACACAGCTACAGAAATTAAACTATTTTTCTCTTGATTGAGAGCAGATATACAGAAATGGTTATAAGTCACAGATCTGGCTTTTAATAAAGCCAGATTTCTTAATTAAAAGCAGTATTGTTTAAACATTGTAGTTTTTAAAAAAAGAGCTGTACAAACTGAAATCTCATATTATATGCATCCCAAGTGTATTTAACACATTACCTGAGGCCAAGCTAAATTAAAATCTAGATTTTCCTTTTGTTAACTCTTAGCAACTGCCATGAATAGACAAACAATTTCTACTCAATGATGAATTTTTGGGGTAGAGGTCAAGGAAAAGCGAAAAAGAAAAAAATGATTTAGCTTTGGCATTCAAAAATATCTTTCCACGTCTTAGAAGTGAGTTCATTGCTTCTATTTATAAACCAGTATTTTTGGTTTCAAATTGGTTGCAGGTTTCCATAACACACTCCCAGGATGGTCCTCTCAGTCTTTTACTAAGAGAAGTCGAAAGGACGCAGAAGAACAGGACTGAGCAAGGAGCCTTGGAATGACCTGTACTTATTTTGCATTCTCCTTTCGGAATCATCTTTAAACCAGGGACACTTTATGGGATAACAGGAAAGAAACTTTTTAAGAGCCTATAACGTACAAAACAGGACAAAAAAGTGTTTACTGCTCAGGTAGGAGTTTGTAAGGAGTGGACTTACACAGAATCACTAGTAATATTAAATTTTCCACCCATTCGGACCTCACTAATTGTCATCACTTAATATTTTGTTTGGAAGATTCTCTGGATCTTCATAATCACCCCAAAAAGGGATGCACTCCCAAATCCTTACCAAAAGCAGTGGGCAGCATTGAAATCCCAACTGTAATGTGGACAAATCTGCTTAAGCCGCATTCAAATAGACTTATGAATAGGCAGTGGCAAAACTACTGTGCACTTTAATGACACAGTCCCACGCCAGATATTTAGACAAACACATCATATATTTCTACCTCCTATACTCAGAATTCAAAGGCACTGATTCGTTTCTTTAATACAAAAAATTCAACCTATTCATATCTGAAATGCCAGCAATGTAACATGAACATAAGATGGTTGGGTCCTTTAGCCAAAGCCACCACGGTGAAGAATTTAAAACATCAGTGATGACCCAGCAATGCTCTCCTGGGTATGTACTTAAGTGAAATGAAGACGACGTGCCCACACTAAAGCCTGCACATGAATGTTCATAGGAGCGTTATTCATAACAGCCAGAATGGAAATAATTCAAATGTACATCACCCTATGAAGATGAATACAATGCACACAATGAAATATTGTTTGTCAACACAAGTGGATGACACTCTGATGTATGATAAAGCATGCATGAACCTGGAAAACACTGTGCTAAGCTGAAGAAGCCTGTCAGAAAAGATACCACATGTTGTATGATTCCATTCATAGGAAAAACCTAGATTAGGCAAATCTACTGACAGAAAAAGTATATCAGGATTGCCAAGGGCTGGAGGGGTTGAGGGGAGAATGGAGAGTGACTGACCGCTAATGGCAATGGGGATTTCTTTTCATTTTGCTGTGTTCTAAAATTAGACTGTGGCAATGGTTACATAACCCCGTGAATATACTAAAACACAGTGAAATATAAACCTTAAATGGGTGAATTGCATATTAAGTGAATGTGTCTCAATAAAGCTATTTTTAAAAAGGGAAAAACAGCAGCAATAGTGTTTATAATCGAAAATCTAATTTTGTACGATAACTACAGTTTACAAAGTTCATCACTTACCATGAGTGAATGTCTGTTGGCTGAAAGAAGACCGGTTCCATACCCTGAGCCCAGACCACCCATTGCTCCATTATGAGAAGGTCCAATGATCCCATGCATGTCCCCGTGACTGCCAGGCATAGCGGTGGACGGGCCCACTGCATGATTTCGGAGAACATGAATGGCATCATCCAGTCTTTCTAAACGATCTTCAATCCGGCTTTGCTGTTGGTGAATAAAGGATGTGAAATTTGATTTAGTTTGAAATGCATGCATGTGTTACATAAGTAAAACGAGTTCACACACACCACACTTTGAGTTTCTAAATGTTTCCAATAAAGTTTATTTCCTTAAAATAATAATAAGAATAGCATCCTTCCTAGACAACAGGTGACAAACGTTAATGTTATAATCAGTGTTATTTTTCATGAACAAAGTAAATTCAGTAATTCTTCCAGGACATTTGAATGTACATATGCTGTACTATATTGCATTAGCTTGAAAGAGAATTTAGATTTACTTTAGAAAAGAAAAACATTTATTGAATTTAAGAAACATTCTGACAGGCATTGGTGAAAAGATTTTTAAAAATTAGCCATGAAAAGGTGACCTATTTATAATTCTCCAGTTAAATTACCCTCCTGGAGGTATATTCCTTGATTTCCTCTGTGACATATGATACAGTGCTAACTATCAAGTCAGGGATGGGTAAATACATACAGACAGTAATTTCTTGAGTACTATTGATTTTCATCTGTATTTCTTGCTTTCTATCTATTTTCACCAGTGTGTGTGCGTGTGTGCGTGCATATGTGCGTGTGTGTGTACAGAAGAAAGTGGGGACTCAAAGTAATCACAGAAAAAATTACAAAAATTCTGTCAACCAACATGGTACGAGATTTCACTACTGAAGAATCACAAAGAACTGAATTAATGTTTACCAGAGCTTCTAAATGATTTCAAAGTCCTAACTATAGTATAGAATTCACTCCCTTACACAGGTATATTATTAAAAACCAACTGAACTTTTTTTCTCATCCCAGCCATTAGGATCCAACTTGTCTACAACTAGATAAGGTCTGTACTGTGGTTTTGGGGGAAGAATATGGACATGTAGTTGTGTATTCATTTTTTTCCAGTGTGATAAATTATGATATCAAATAAACATCTGCATAGGACTCTCCAGTGTATACTTTAACATCTAAGATCCCTCTGGGCCCTCATACTACATGAGTGAGGCAAGCAGGGAAGACAGTATTACCCCTTCCACAAAGACATGCGGACGAGGCTCAAAGAAATTAAATGAATTAATTAACCAGTGTCACAGTACCAGGAAATGATAAAGCCAGGTTTCAAATCTAAGTCTTTTGACTTCAAATCTAATGTCCTTTTGTACTACAACATGCTTCAATCCGCTCTGATTTTCAGTGGGCCGTGCAAACAGATGTACCCGCTTTACTGTATGAGAAGAACAATTTCTAATTATTCTATACTGACAGGAAGAATGTGGGTCTAATACATGTAGTCTATGGTGCAGAGCATTCTGATTTGGTGGCCCTGGTGTTACAGGGCCTCCCCTAAACTCCTAGCGTGGCAACTAGTATGACCTTGGAAAAGTTGTTAACTTCTTTGAGTCTATGCTTCTTAATTTTAAAAATAGGAATGCATGCATATGTACACGTCCAAGTGTAAATGTAAGCATGGAAAGGAAGAATACATGTGCCTACCATCCTTTCTGGCTCACAGCTTCCTGGAGGAGAGAGCAGTTTCTCGTGTGAATCCCCTCTTGAGTGTTGAGAATTTAAAGGAACTAAAGCTGTAGTTCACAACTTTAAACCCAGTCTTTACAGTTTTATAGTTGGACAAAGCCCAGTTTTGATAGATGGGTCCCAGAGAATAACTGATGGAGGTAAACACTGGCGGCAGATTAGTGGGGCTGGGTAGGTAGTGCATATGCCGCCTCGCTCTGTGGTTGCCTTTACCGGCTAAAATGCAGAGCTGGGTGATTCACACACCTCAGCAGGGAGAGAACAACGGGGAAATATACTGTTGTACTTTTAATTTTAGGTTTTCCTTAATTTAAATAGTAAGCCAGAAGAGAAGGAAACCCTGAACCACGGACAAGACAACATTAAACTAGAGACATGTATGCCTTCTTCCATGTCCCACCTCAACGAAGGGAAACAACGTGGAAAGACTGAAGAGCTCCTTGCTGCTACCCCTCCCATTTGGTTCATGCACAGCCCGGATACTGCACTGAGTGCTGGTGTTTCACGCATGTTTCCAGGCCCATCGTTGAGACTTGAGAAAGCCCAGAGAGGCAGACACTGAATCATCACCTACTTAGAATATTAATTAACCCCATGCAAATTCCCAGCCTTTCCCTCCGGGAAGAGCAGAGATGTACTGATGTCACTAGGTGTCTATATGAACCAAAGTGAACAAGGAAGTAGTAGTAGCTTCTGGTTCCAAGGTCAAGAGGAAAATGCCTATAAACGTGTTATTCTGGGAAGCAGAGCAGAGAATATAGGATCTTTAAGTGTTGCAGTACACAGCTTTAGCAGGGACTTCAGCAGCTCATCTCAGGGAAGTAATTTAATCACAGGCCGGGATCTTTCCCCAGATGGGAAGGGGCCACTATCCTTCCAGGATTTTTAATCTTCTATCTGGTCCTAGATCTTTAGAGCCCTGGGCTTACACTGCAGCAGTATCTGGGTGACAATCTACAAACAGGAACAAACACAGTCTAATCTTGGAGTGAACTAGAGGCAACAAGAGAAACATGCTCTGGAAGTGGCTGGAGCAGAGATGAGCAGATGACTTACCAAGGAGTGCAAGGGTCCTTCATAGTTAGGAGATGATGAGGCCTGCCCTCCATTTCTAGACCAAACAGCTGTGCCTGCTGATATGAACAAAGGGATTACAATGCGATCGACATCATCTTAAAAACAATCTCACCAACACTTTCAACAGTTCTCTTAGAAACAGCAGTATTGGTTTCCACGTGGACCCTAAGGTGAACCTCCCATCCAAAAATTCTAGGGCAAGGAAAACATCTTAAATGTAAAACATGGAGACTTTACATAGAATCAGAATTCTCTCAAGCTTCCTAAAAGGAGGAATTTTAGCTAGAGAAGTGTTCCTTTGAAGAAAACTATTACTACATAGTCAAGGTCCTTTTAAGAGTGCAAAGTGGGAAGGGGACCGGGGCGGGCCTTTGTTATGCCTCCATGCAAGGCCAGTTTGTTAAACCAAAATCTCTCACCAATGAAAAACAGCTTTGCGACTTGGTTTGAAAAAATGATCCTTGAGAAGGAATAAGCCTTCAGAAACTTTTGAAGGAAATAAGATTAGTTGGCAGGGATCCACAGAACCAGAAATTTAAAAACCCTACATAACAACAGTAATAAGTAAGTAGTTTCTTCTGAAGAAAATAATTTTTTTATGATTCGCTAAACCTGCAGGTAAAGAAAGATGCCTGCTATAATAAATATTACATGTCTAATGTCCTACTTTTAAATTTAAAATAATATGCACTCAGAATAGAAGATAAATAATTCAAGTAAGGAAAATAAAATCTACGATTTCACTGAATCTCACGCCCGACACAGTTAGCTCTTTCAATATTCATTCTCCTGTCACTTCTGGGTGTGCGTGTGTGTGTTCTGATGCTAAATGAAAATAGAATACTTTGTCCAATTACTTTCAGGGACGGAATCTGGACAGAGCTATCAGTGTGGAAACAGCGACCTGTCCCCAGGTCTACATCCTCAAGAAGCCCTTCCCCGCTGCCAGGCGGTCTTCCAGGATGGGTTACCAGGGCCTCACAATGGCCTTACTTCTGGTCTTTCTCTGAGAGCACCCTGCTCAGGCTTAGAGTATTTAGGGCGTTTTCTGGCATGCTGTGTGCACCACAACTTTTGGCCCCCCATTAACCTAGGAGTGGAGAGGCAGAATTGCATGCACCCGGATCTTTGCTCTCCGGGATTGCTTCAGACTTAACCTTAAGCATTAGACGAAAATAGTGGTTCTCAAGCTTTATTAGACTGTAGAATTACCCCCCCCCCCAAATTATAAAATAGACAAAATTAGAGCTGTTTTGCTTGAGACGGGGCACATGGGGTTTTTTCCCTGCTCAGACCCCTCCTTGTGGGTCTCAGGGGGTGCTGCCCTGTATAACGAGGTGGCGGTCACTCCCCAGAGCTGAACAACATGGTGTGCACCGCACACTGCTGAGCTTCCCTTGCCTTTTCTATCATGGGGAAGGCTTCACTGCTGTTGCAGTATCCCCTTGATATCATCTCTGTTTCTTGCCAGTTTCAACTGTCTCTCTGGGCATTTGGGCTTAAATGTCCAGCTACCCCTCTCTATTCTGTGCCCCCCCCACCCCCCATGTCAATGGAGGCTTGGGAAGGCTGATATCAAGCCCCACCTAAGCCAAGGCCATCGCCTCCGGAAGCTTGGTGGTGATCTGAACCAAGGAGCCAGCTTGTGGTGGGCCCTGTGAGTGCTGATACAGGGACGGAGGAGGCAACATTTCGGCAAGTGACTCGCTATAAATTACAGGAAGGTCAGGTTTCAATGAGGTACAGATGTGACCTAGTTTTGTGTTAGAAGCCACCTGCCCTCTTTCCAGAGTGCAGAGACAGGCAGCAGACAGGGCCTTCTGGAAGCATTTATACTGGAAGGGCAATGAGCCTTTTAAATGGACCTCTGCTTTACTAACATAATGTAAGAACTTATATTTTACTACTTGAAGCCATAGTTCATGTAATTTGTTATTTTTAAAGGCAAACATCCCCTTTTACTCCACACACTTCACAATTTATTTACAAAATTATAGTTTCCTCAAACATCCGAATTACTTCATGGACTTCAAAGAGGGAATTTGGAAAGTCTAAAATTTCTGTCGGAAAAGATCCTCTTGAATAATCTATATTTGATGACTGTACAATCATAGTCAAGGCTATATGTACTACCTGGTCTCGTTTGAGATGTTTTATTAGAACATGTTATTCTGTGGAGTATCTTCTAGAGAGCTAGGAAAAATTTCAGAAATAAGTTTCCCATATGTCTGTATATTTTTAAAAAACATCTAATTTTTAAGACAAGTTTGGGTGTAAGTGACTGTGCCTTCACATGGCTGTCTGTCTCTCCCACTCCTTTCTGCCTGTTTGGAAACGGTGTTTTGAGCCGTGGAGGGAGGGAGCTTCCTCCGAGTCCAGGGAGTCCAGGGGGGCAGTCACTCTCACCAGCTGGCCCTGTGAGGCATGGGAGCAAGGACAGTACCTGAGAGAGAAGGCGGAGAGCCGACAGGAGTTGAAGGGTTTGATGAAAAGCTGTTGTTAGTGTGATCTGGAGAATAGATCTTAAAACAATGGGGAGAAAAGAAAACAAATCCTCATTATTAGGAACAAACAATCAACAATTTTGTCAACTGCAAAGTATCCATGCAATTCATTTAAAAGTTACAACTTACAAAATGCATTTAGTGATCAACTGCAGTAACAACACGTAACCACTTTAATCTTTCAAAATCAGAATTACTGAGGTCATATAAGATCGTCGGAAAAGACCTGGACTGGAGGTCAGCAAACTACTTTTCTAGTCCTTTTCCTCCCACTTCTCCGTGGCTGCTTGGCTATGCGCAAGCCACAGAGATACACAGAACCCACCCCCACTCCACAAAACAGGCCAGACCAAGTCACCCTAAGATCGTTGTCCATCTCCCTCTTCACCATGATTAAGGCATTTGATTCCAAGACATGAGAATGCCTAGATTAAATAAAAACTTTTACTTGGTAAAAATGTTGAGAAATCAAACATTTTATGCTCCTGATGGTACGGAAAAACCAACTGAAGAGATAAAATGTTAAAGCAACAAATCTCCACTTATATTTGCAAATGCCCATGCTTAGCTTTTGAGGACACCACCAGGTGTGCCATTGTCGCTAGCGAAGGTGCAGGGCACCTCCCAGTGCAGCCTCTTGGCCGTGAGCAGGTAAGGCAGAGAAGTTGAGTCCCCAGGTGCCAAATGTGGGACAGTTCCCCCTAGACCTCACTGAGGGTCTTTTTAAATGCCTTTTCTAAAGTATTTTAGAATTGCCCCTCACAAAGTCAGCCTTAGATGGTCAATGAGGGGCCATATGACTTTAGAGAAAAATAAGAAATCCAGATAGAAAATCTATACACCTAAGGGCTCCAAGAATATCCGAGAACCTGTAACTGAGTACCACTTAGCCGCCCTGAGGAGACAAGATGGAAGAGACCAGTCAGGCATGGAAGCTTCAGAGGTCTCTCTTCAGATTTTCCAGTGATCATTATGCAAGGGAAAAAAAGCGAGCATTTCCAAAATCAAAGCTCTTTGCCATTCATTGTATACAATTCCACATGTCCACGTCTGATTAAAGTTCAGGCCTCCACAATGCTACGTACGAAGGCCAAAGTCAATATTGCCTCACCGAAGCAAGTGCTTTCCCCAGAGCATCTCCAGTCTGGGAGCTGCCTGCTGCTCCGCTTCCTCTATTTGCTGCAAAAACAAAAGGCAGAATATGAAAAACCAGGCAGTGAGACGTCTAGCAATTTTCTATTCCTGGTCCATTTACTTACAATTTAATTGCATTTTTAATGCTAATTATGACACATTAATTTTTAATTAGCATTAATTTGTTTGCTGAGGTAGATGTCAAATATATTCATGTTACATTTTCTACAGATAAAATATAAACCTGACACCTTGGTTTAAAGATATAGTCTTTTAGTTGCTATTACCTTCAGGCTTGTTACCTAGGAGTGTGTAGTGGTGAATGCTAGTTCATTGCTAAGAAATTGACAGTACTTTCAGGTGTCTGAAGTCCTCAAAGTTTGGCTCTTCTTTACATTTTAGATAGTCAACTGAATTCTCCTCATGCATAATTTACACCTCCTTTGAAATAAAAAGAGGTACTCCTCTCTGAGTTCCACAGTAAACAAAAACAAAGAAAAAAATCTATAACAGGTCTAGGAGAGAAAATATTTTTAATATTTGAAATAACATGTATTCTCCACACATTTAAGTGAAATTTTAAAAAAATTGAACTGCTGTGCTACTAAAAGTCAGCATGGTCTCAGATTCTGGAGATAAAATCAGTCTACATAATCGTGAAGCTATCGCTCCATCTTAAACACTGGTATTTTTATCTACAAAATAGATGAACAAAGAGTACTATTAATAAAAAGACAGAGGTACTAGTGTATAATCCAAAGCCAGCTCTATTCAGCAAGTGCCTTTGAAGGTAATTTGCCTTTACACAATGGGACAGCCAGTGTTCCTCGGAGGTCTTCAGCCTTAGCACAACGCCTACGGATGCTATGCCGCAGTCATCAGGGCCTCGACATAAGCAAAGTGATGTAATATTTAAATAAAGCCTATTAAACTCCAGCGGAAGATATTTTTCAATACTTGGTGAAATAAGAAAACTGATTAATCCAAGCAAAACTTCATTACACAAATAATTTTTTAAAAATTCACAGCCCTATCCTTGACCCAAGAAAGCAGCTTTCTGGCAATGTGTCTCCACGTCCAGTGTGTGAAGTGGAATAGAGCTCAGACCCCAGGGGTCGGCTTCTCCCCATTCTCTGGGTTACAATTTCACTCTCTTGGCCTCTGCTTAGCACAGTTGAATTATGCTGGCTATTTTCACATATTCACATGTTGGGTATGTCAGTTAGTGGTCTTTTGATGTGTGTTTTATTTGATTAACAAAACCCATCCCCATATTCATGTGTTATTACTAAACCTGAAAGAACACTGATAGATGGTAAAACGAACAGTCATCTTTGGACAAGACATTTGTTTTCATTCCACAGACTCATATGAAAACTGAATCATTAAAAAGTAGCTGACATTGTCCTAGAAGAAGTGAGGCTGTAATCTGTAATTTCCAAATGTAATTAAAAGGCTCGTCTCTGTATCAGCTATTAGTACTAAGGATTTTAAGTGGAAGCAATCTTTGAAATGGGGGTCTGACATCATGCTGAGCTAGTGGAAGGAACTCACAGATATCAAGAGTATTAAAAATACTTAGTACAAGAGATAAATAAAATTTTATCTGGCATGAAAATTAAAATGGTTGTATTAAGGAGGTGTTTTTTTTTTTAAATAAAGACAATTCTAAATAGAAAATAATAAATATTTTGAAAACATAGAGAGAACTAATATTTTCCAGCTGGTATTACCATAGTATTTGTGTGCATATGTGTGTGTGTATGTATGTATGTGTGTGTGTATATATATATATATATATATATATATAATGACATATTTCTAGAAATTCATATATATATAATTTTCATAGAAGTAACATTATCATATACTAGTATACCTAAAATTAGATTTAGCAGTCAAAATAGCTTGTGATGTCTGCTTAATTACAAAACAAATCTTCATGATATGTAAGTGCAAAGCCGCAATGGAAAAATTACATTATCTAAAAAAGAACTGAAACCCAAGTAGTACAAGATATTGTTTCAATTACAGAAAACATTTGCTACCATTGTGGCTTTCAAAAGATTAATTCTTCCTTTGAACAACTTTAAAATTAAGATAATAAGTGTTTAAAAATACTTTTTCATGAAACCAAACAGAACTGAAAATGAACAGAAATATTTTAGGAACATTAAAAAAGCTAATTATATGTAACACACACACAAAAAATCACACTTTACAAGAAACAAGATATAATTATTATGATCACGTCCATACTAAACTTTGTATTAAGTGCCTGTTATACAGAGGAAGATGTTAGGACCTAGGAGGTAGATTAAAAAATAGAATCAACTCCTTACCTCAGGTTGTCATAAAAATGATTCCGAAAACTAACAGGCTACTCATGGAGACCACTGATAAGAACAGACTATTTTTAATATGCAGCCATTCCACCTGGCAGCGGCAGCTGGAGTGAGGAATCCAGGGCTTAAATTCCAAAGCAGTTTCCTGGGCCAGTTTGCCCCTTCACTTGGAATGCCTTTTGTTCTGTTCCAGGAAGCGTTGGAGAAGACACATTTTCAAGAGTCCCTGAGCATGTTAGGCGACAGGGGTCTTCTGCTAGAGCTCTCTTTTTATTTGTGTGACTGATATGCCAAAGGGCACAAATAATCCGACAGTGAACATATTATTAACTCTCAAACTTCTAATTTCTTTTATATTAAGTAATGGGGCATGTTTAGCCAAACGCGCTTCTAATTAACTTGGTGCTTATCAAATCCACCTTTTGGCTTTCGTGTAACAGGACTTGATTACGATTCTAGGCCCAAGTTTTTGTCAACTCGTATTATGAGCAATTACCCAAGTGCCCGTATAACAAATAAAGATGAAAACTACTGCCCCTATTTGGTAAAGACTGGGTAGATTTCTTAAGATATTTTAGCTCTAATCAATTTTTCTTGCTCCAGAGAAAAAAGAATCTGCCGTAAAGCAGGGTTGAAAGTAAATGTGAGTGGAAGATGAGCGGTGATTACGAGGAAGTGTAATTCTGTGGGGGGATCCGGCACTGCCAGCACCCGAGCACCGCTCAGGGGGCGTGTGTGTGCACAGGTGCTTGGTGCTGGCTAGCTATGGAGCAGAGAGAGGGTTCTGCTACATGTCGGACCACCCTGGGACGCACTCTCAGCTTTGGGGAAATGGCGATTCCCATTAGAACACACCCTCATCAAAACACCAGGAGGAGTGGTGCCTGGGGATCCACTACTGAAAATTAGAATTGCGAAAATATGTTACCCTTTTAATACACACCCATAACCTCAGGCTGGGAACATGACAAAGACATAAAAGGAACGATAAGTGTAATTTATGGTGTATTTGCCTGAAAGAAGATGACTGCTTTGAAATTTAGTTATTTCTGAACTATGTGCAAGTGAGCCTCGTATTATTAAACTATTAAAAGCATCCTAACAATGTCATGAACTTGACTATAAAGATGACACAAGAAGGAGCGTCTCCAGCACTCCTACAGAATCTAATTTTATAATTAAACCTCAAATTAGGGCTAGAATGCACTCATTTTTAGCACGAGGGATCTCTAGAAATTCAGGGGGAAAGTTGGGCCTCAGGACCATGTGCAGGAAATGGACAAGACTTAAACTAGTTTACTGTTTTCCATTAGTGGTCTTTGTAACTATGGTGCCATGACATTGCTGGGTGAAGTTCATAAACCCTTATGCTCTGTGCCTTTCTATCACCCAACTCTATTTGAAGGCTCAAGATTCTTGTAAAAGACAAAGTGAATCTATGTGACTACTCTAATATAAAATAACTGTGAAACCAAGTCCCCAAGGGGAAATTGACATGTTTCTGCTAGAAAAGCCACATACTCAAGTGCTTCATGTCATACAAACATGTCATTAGAAGTGAAAGTAGTAAGCCAGATTAATGCATGAACCAGATAGATATTCCAGGGTGATCTTTAGCATATGTTGTATTAAATCCATTTTGGTAGTCTGTTCCTTCAACACTGTTTGGTTTGAGGTTAAAAACATGGGAAATGCCTTGTATGAGAAAGCAGGCCAGTTAAAGACCAATAAAACAATAATAGTTATTATAAGCATTATACTGGTTGTATGCCCAATTCCCTCTGAGGGCAAGGGAGGGTGTATAGCCCAAACAACAAGAAGTCACACCCAGGGAGTGGATACAAATGGTACCTCCCAGGGGTCCTCACTGAGAAGTGTCAGAAGTGTGTGTGGTATAGTCACCTCAATGCTTTTGACCAGGAAGGGCTATTGGATACTGCAGGTAGGAAGGAAATATGTATATAACAAAATGTATACGGCTACTAGTCTCTACACATTTCTATCCTCTACAGCTGGTATCTAGTAACTTACTCCACTTCCTTCTCTGAGATACACCCAGCTGGATAATACTGAGAGGGTTTCAGAATAAAGTTTGAAGGGCTTTGATACTGGTAACTCCTGAAGCCCTCAGCCCTAGCTCCTCTCCTTAACTGGGTGCTCCATTAGTTAAATGTCTATGGACCCATGCTGTGTCCCACGCATTATACTCATACACTTCTAGATCCCTCTAACTCAGAAATGTCTGGTATAATCTCCAGAGTTTGCTGGCAAAGCTTCAGAGGAAAATGTGAATTCTGTGTAACAAATGAAATACTTTAGAATTCTTTCAAAAATCCATGGATGAATGTGTCACAAAAAAATTTCACCATTAATATAATCTCAGTAAGATTTATCCTTCTTAAGGCTTTCTCAGAAAAATGATACTGGGAATTAAAGGGGGGAAAAACTGAACAAAAATCACAAGAAACAATGGTCATTCCTCCAAACCAAACACAAGCCATCCGAGATCCCAGTGAGCATCTTCCATCTCTGAAATGAAGAGAACAGAACTAGAGGCAAAGGAGCCTGGCTCCAGAGAGGATGCCTTCCAACAGTTCTAGAGCTTTCATCTCACGCCGCATGCATTCTGTTGTCCTATGATCAGTTCAGGACAATTGTTGGCCACTAGGAAGATGCATTATAACATGAAACTGAGAAATGGGCCAATCATCTTTTGAACGGAAAAAACAGCTTCCTGAGACATCAATGTTGTTTATTAAAAGATTGCACTGCCTTGCAACTTTACACCAAGAAAACTTGAAAAATCTGATGTCCATGTGTTAGCGCTTGAACCCCATTCTTATGGCATTAGTATTGCTTACAGCCATTTTCTACAGAATCATGTGTGTAATCTTAAACATGTGTCAAGCTATGTGTTCCCTATTTACCAATTATTTAATTAGCTCTGTTTGTTCTCTGCGATACAGGCAATGTAATATTTCTTTATTTCCTGCATTTCAGAATGAGTGAGTATATGCCAAGTATTTTCAAAAGTCTACAGATGTATCCTATTAACCCATACTGTTTGTTAGGGAAGCATTAGTAACTGAAGAGAAATCTTCTCTTGTTATACAGACATGCCGCCGTCCCTGACTTCTACCACACTCTGAAAATCAAGCCAAAACCTAAGAGAATTAAAGTGCGAAGAAACTTGAGTCACGCAGACACTATGCAACCATGAAGCCTATTATCATACCCAAATTTTCCTCTGCATTTTAACTGGAGGAATTGGAAGACATGTTTTCAGGGAGAACATGAGTCTTCTCTCTTACAGTAATCCTAAATTCATAACTGAATTTATGCAAGTTCTTCCAAAATGCTCAATTACCATGTCTACTTATTTCCTGAAAAGATTATAAAGCTTTTTCACATTCTACTAGCAGATTTTGACAAGTACACCCATGGTTATGGATTAATTTATGTAATAATGTTTTGCCTAAAAAAGTTCCTTTTCCAGGTTCCAAAAATCTCATACTTTTCCCTTTTAAAATTATAGCTTCCTAATTATTACCTAGACCCTCCTTCCACTAAGTCCATCTTTCACCTAGAGCTCCATCCTGCTCAGGCCAAATGGAGGAGAGGAGACATTCCTATTCATCTATGAGCTAATGATGAGCCAACCAGCTTAACTAAAGCAAATCCCATTCCTACCCAGGTGCATGGCTTTGCTAACCACAGCCCAGGGGCGAAGATTACGCTCTCGCAATATCTTCCTTCCCAAGTCTAGTGCCTCTCTCCCAGGAAGACTGTTTTGCAAATTAATTAACATAACTTTTTTTTTTCAAACAGTGCTTAAGTATGTTCTCCTCAGCTCAAGCGTTTGCTCCACCTTTATACCTTCCTAAAAAAGAAAATTACTCAAATCACAAGTAGACAGGAAATCTGCCATGTAAGAGGATGAGTGACCGGTCAGCCTGCTTTATAACTAGACCTCATGACTGCAGAAAGGGGCTTTCCATGTGCCAAACCACACTGAAGTGAAATATGCTTCTCTCACTCTTTCAGTTCTGCACTTCTTTCTTCTTGTTTTTCAAATCTGCCAAAACTGCATTGATAGCTACAAAATGTCCCCATATGACCGTAGTCCAGAGCCCCCCAAGGTCAAACTCATGCAACATATTTGTAGAAACTTTGTTATGAAAAGTTATAAAAATGGAAATTCCAAAATTTGCTTCTCAATGAGACATGATAGTGAAGGGCTGCTAGATGGCTCATCTCAAGTGTGAAATATATTATTGAATAAAACAGAGAGTGTATTATTTAGGCAGGATTATATTTGCAACACTTCAAAATACATCTCTTTTTTATAAAAGACTCCCACATAAGTGATTCATACTAGTTCCCAAAGTTATACAGACTAAGGAAAATGAAAAACTACAGATACTAAGAGGACTAGCAGCAGGATTACTGTCACACACTCTCCTCTCTAAAACACACAGCCAGTGTTCTCATCAGTGACCCCCTGGAAGTAGCCCTAAGCCCCAGCAAGGTATGGGTGTGAGCGAACCAGCGCAGTGGCAATCAGTGAAGCCTGAGGTTTAACAGGACCCTGGAGCATCAGACTGTAGTGCTGGGTGACAAAGAGAGTTGACAAAGGCCAATTCAGAAGGGGGTGCTCGCCTCCTCCCCAACCTGGAACTCTTTCTTCCCTGGGCAGCTAGACATCCTGCCAGCTCTTCCCTCCCTCAAGGTGAGAGTGTGATGGTGAGCCATCTGTCCGTGGGAGAAGACCACAGTGGACAGCATGGAAAATGAGAGGAGGGGGATGGCTCCGTTAATCTGCCAGCAACTTTCTGCCTTAACTTATTTTTCTTTCAACTTGAGAAAAAGTAGCGGATAACTTCTGTCCCACTGATGCCCAGCTGTCTCCTCTCCTGTGAGTGAGTGACACTTCTTCCCTCTGAAGGACTTCACCATGCGGCATTCTTCTGAAGGTGAAGCTCATCTAGTTATTACTAGCTGCCTGTCAGTGTCACATGAACCCATCTGCAGAAGACTGTGGCGTGTCATGGCTAAGAGCACAACACAGTGACTGAATCTGGGAAGCGGTCAACAACTACTATTAAGAGATATCGTGGTCTTTATCTCATTAGTCTTCAATGGTTTGTCTTATAAAAGTTCACTTTGCTTGCTATTTGGGAGTATGAGAAGCAAGGCGGTTTGGTATATTTAAACCCTGTTCAAACTAATTACAATAGGCAAAGTAGCCAAATTTCAGTTTCTTGTGGAAAAAAATGTGATTATGGTCAAGCCAATGACTATTTCTGTTTGGTTCATTTGTTTGTTCAGTTATGTGATAAACATTCATCCTCTGATTGCTGTTCAATTATGGGGGGGGGGGGGCGGGGAGGGTAGAGATCTTTCATTATAATCCTGACATTGAGTGTTGGTACCAGAACTGGCATTTCCAAAACTCACCCATTATACTGTCTGTCCCGTTGGCAGGAGGCGTACAGGAAGAGGTGCTGTAATGGTTGGTACCACTACGGTGGAAAGTGGACATTGGAGGAAGACTGGAATTGATGTCTGCTGAGGAGTGTGATGGGTAGCTCTGTAGCAAGAAGCAGAAAAAGGAGGCAATTTTCAACCATAAAATATTTAATGGGTTAGTTTTATAATACTTTCTTCTGCAATGGAGAAAACCCTTAAAATTTCAAAATATTGAAGAATACATCTTGCTTAGTTCTGACAACTTTCATTTTTCAAATATTAAAACACAAAGACACAGTTTGGATTTGCATCAAATCTAGGGGAATATGATGGCAATGTAGGACACTAAAAATGATTACAATCTCTAAATCTAAAAACTACTTCTTAAAAGCCTATCTGTGGCCCGGCTGGTGTGGCTCAATGGTTGAGCCTCGGTCCATGAACCAAGACGTCATAGTTCAATTCCTAGATTGTGGGCTCAATCCCCAGTAGGGGGCATGCAAGAGGAAGCCAATCGACGATTCTCTCATCATTGATGTTTCTAGCTTTCTGTCCCTCTCCTCTCCTCTCTCAGAAATCAATAAAAACATTTTTTTTTAAAAAAGCAGCTCTGTGACTTTAACAGCATAAAAAAGCACTGCTATTATTTCTTTGTGCAGCCTATTGATCAGGTAAGAAAGACTCTATGATACACTGAGTAAAACAACATGGTGACCTACAGGGTTTGCATTACACTTCATCCTGACCTTCTGAACACTAAATGGCAAAGAGTAAACCATCTCAGGTCTTTTCCTGCCAAATTTGGTTACCTTTCTGAACTCCAGCAAGAACAAATGGTAAATAAAAAATTTAAAAAGTGCTAATGATTAGCTATCTCTCTGAAGCATCAATATGTAAAGCCTTAACTCAATGACTGTACTGAATTAAATGAGAACAAGTGAACTGAGAATAACTATTTGACTTCTTACTTCATATGTCCTCTCCATTAGTGATCGTCATCTTGTTGACTGTGAAAGATCACCTTTACAGAATCATTTGGGTTAAGGCTTGACGTTGAGTTACATTATTGCACCAGTTGTTCAAATCAGCTGCTTTTCTTGGGGCATGTTACAGTACCTGGAAGGTTGGCAAATTAGGTTCCACCCACCTCTCTGTCTGGGAGTGAGCAGGTCATTAGGAGGGTCACAGTAATATTTACAGAAAAATATTGAGCTATGTTCCTGCTCAAGATGATAAATAGCTTAAAAAGGTGTTCTCATAGGCATCTGATGAGTTATAAACATGTAAAGGAAGACATTTAAGCTAAAATATAATTTTTCCTTATATGTGATATATTAATGGGCTATGGATCTTTATTATGTGATTACTGGAGAGTCTGTTAATGTTCTATATAAAACTGAGATTGGAGATGATGCTCAAAGTCAGAGGTGCTTCAAGCCCAGGCCATTTATTCACAAGGAGTGAAACCCTGGTGTCTTGGTATTTTCTTTTATTTTGAGAGGCCCATCTTGGTTCTACCTCCGCCTCGATGATTCCTCACTGCTTCCCACTCTTCCAAGACTTCACCTCTCTGAATCCCTAATGAACTGACAACATCTTCACTGGGCCATTTAATAATGATATGCTGCCTTTCATTGCGATCTCTCTCACATGCATTTCCATCTATACTGTACTGTAAACTCTTTAAAGGGAGAGGATACAGTTTATACCTTTGCATCCCACAACTTGCTACTGAGTGCAGAACACATAATTACCCTATGTAGGCAATGAACAACTGGCTACTGTTAATAAACAGTGGATTGAAATGCTAGTATTTGAGAGGTAACTGAAAAATGAAACTTTGTTTCAGAGCCAAGTCTGCCACATCCATGCTTTTGGATATATTACTTCTGCACACTCAAATAGTCCAAAGAAAGGTCAACTTCAGTGTAAAAGTTGACATACTGCCCTTAAACTTGTCCAAGTTCCCAAGAATGTCTTTCAAACTTTTAAGTTTTATGAACCTCTTTGCATGACTAAAAAATTCCTTATGCTACCTGTTAAACTCATTTCTACTTGCTACTCACAGAATACCCCAAGTAGTCCCTTGAAATTTCTTCCAGAGAATAGTAGAGTGGGGCCATTCCATAGCAGAGCTAACCTGAAACTCTGAATAAGCCACAAACACCGAACTTAGAAGAACTATTTCTGCTGAGGAGCTAAAGATTATCATAAAGTGGAGAAAGAGAGAAAGAATGAGGAAAAAGAAAATGAAAAGAAAAAGAGAAGGTTTCAGTTCTGCTCCATGCTGAGTTTCTAAAGAGCACAGAACCTTTATAAATCAGTCCCAACTATGCAGAAATCAAAACAGAGACAAATATTATAAAAACTATTGAAATAACTATTAATAATTATAGGATGACACAGGAAAAAAGATTATTGCATCGGTGAGAATTTTTAGACCCCTTAAACCTGGGCAGTAATTCAGGATTTGACAAAGGGTTCATATTGACTTCTGAGACAAAAAAAAAAAAAAAAGTTATTTCCCACAGGTTTTAATGGGGAAACCCATATAATGCACCCAAATCAGTTATTTTTAGAGACTCATAGACTATGAGATGCTGAAAGCAATTAATGAGATTTATAACTCGATTATTTTTCAAGAAAATGTATCATGAAAACTACTGTTACTCAAAGTTGTAATAAATACACCACAGAGAATATCAGTGATATGTGAATCACGTCTCTTGTAGAGTAGTCAGGGATCAACTACAAGAGGTCCCCTTCCAGTGGTTTTCAACCTTCCTTCGCTGCTACTTCATAACTATAATTTTGCTACTGTTATGAATCGTCATGTAAATATCTGATATGCAGGATGTATTTTCATTGCTTGCGACCCACAGGTTGAGAACCGCTGCCTGAGTCTCTTTTAGTCCAGCTATTAATACTGTCTGCCCTGCTTACTACAAAGCAAAAGGGGAAGTATGATAAAGTGCTATGGCCTTACATGCCCACTATTTATTTTTACCTTTAATGGCCTAAGAGAGTGTATTTAGAATATATTGATAGAGTAAGTGGTGATAATGTTTCCATTAGTGATGTTTTTATGGGTTGATAATTCAAAGATTGATCTCACTTATATGTGGAATCTGTATGATGGACAAAACAGAACCAGAGGCACATGGAACAGACTGACAAGGTTAGCCAAAGAACACATATGAAGAGATTAGTCGAAGAACATACATGCATCGCCCAAGGACACAGACAACAGTGTGGTGATGGTCAGAGGAAGGGGGAAGGAGACTGGGTGAAGGTGAGTAAAAGCAGGGTGAGTTGTGGGGGACATCTGTAATAGTGAAAACAATAAAAAAGTTAAGGAACTATAATAATTGGTAGCACATACCAAGAAGACAATTGGGCTTTAGGGTAAGGCAGGGTTTCACAACCTTGGCACTACGGATTGTACCAGGTAATTCTTTACTGTGGGAGGCTCCCCTGTGCATTGTAGCATTTTTACCAGCGTCTTTGGTCTCTATACACTAGATTCCAGTTGCAACTACACCCCCACCCCCACCCCAACACACACACACACACACACACACACACACACACACACACACACATTTCCAAATGTTTCCTGGGGGCAAAAATCATACCTGATTGAGAATCACTAGGGGAAGGGTTTATGTTACAAAAAATAAAGACAACAGAACTTCCTTTATATTAAAATTCCTGACTCCAAGGACTATGTTACTCTGTAGTGCAAAGATCAGGACTCAACCATGCCAGACAGCAAGGACTTCATCCTATTTTTAGAATGAACTCTGTCAAGTCATTCCAAACTTAAACCTTCTACAAGAAACATTCCAAAGGTCAACCACAAACTCCATTCTTTTGAGTGACTTTGTACGTACACTTAGGACATAGCATGGCAGTGGCCCAAAGCTACAGGTGAGCACTGTAAGGAACTGGCATTATTTTCAAGTAAAAAAACACCAACTGCCTACTATATACTCCAATTATTCTCAGTCAGGTCAGACTTTTTAATGTCACTTCCAAATATTTCCGAAGGGTTACTGAAATGACAATGGCCACTCGATATAACAATTCAACAGTTTCCAGGGAGAAACCATCAGTGAGAAAATTCATTTAGGATACACTGCCAGAGACATAATTCATTCAGCCTTTTTAAAAAACAAAACCCCTAATCTCTAAGATCTGCTGCATGATCATGTTAAGAATGAAAACCCTTTGGTTTGTGATGGATAAGTGACGTCACAAATACAGCATCTGAGGCAATTCACTGGGTTACTCCCTCCAAATGATCTTTCTTCCTGGTCGACAACAGTGTTTTCATTAAGCAAAACTTTTTCGAAGTATAGTTGGTTTCCTTTACAAAGCTATATTTTTTTTTGTGCATTTGAGCATATTTTAAAGATACCTCCCCCATGCAGTGAATTTGGGATAAAATGAAACCACCTAAATCAAAATTCTAGACCATAACAGGAAAGAAAAAAGAAATATAGAAGGGAAGGAAAATGTCAGGTGGACAACTCTTAAAAGGACTGAAATTCCAACATATTAGAATACTGCCAAAATCTTTTCCGTGTACTCAAAACTGTCCTTGCTCATAGGACACATGTAGATTTGATCATGAGTTCCTTAGAGAAGTGGCAAATGATGATGGATAAAGAAAAATGTTAGCCAAGAAGAAGTTCTAGTATAATAATAGTTGATATTTCTCTAAGCTTTCAATCTCATACCTCCAAGTAGGAGGCAGGAGAAGAGAAAATCTGAAAGCAAATCATCTGTTATCGAGTAAAAATGTGCTGAACTTTGAGATAGTTTGTGATTTACACATTCAAACTTAGGAGATAATATAAAAGGCCAATGCTACCTTCATTTGTCTCTCATTAATGGACAGGTTATTTGACCACATCGTGTCTCTGTCACTAGGACTAAATAAGTAGGCATATTCAAGTATTTCAGAAATCCTAACTCCTGGGATATTTTAGGTTGTTAGAATAGGATATAAGTCGCTTTCTCCATACCTCTAGTGGTTGAGCAAAAGAAAGATCACAGAAATCTAGAAAGCCCTATATCCTGTATCAGGACAGAGAAAGAAACGTAACTCTGGGTACTAGAAAAAAGGGGAGACTCCAAGATGAAGAGAAATGATATAAAGACTACGAATGCTAGTGGACTGGTAATAACCTTGTAGGAATGGACTTCCATGCATTTCCAAAGCTAGGTTATTGCACAAGGGACTCAGTTTTATCTCATCTGCATCGCAAACCTAACTCGTGATCTAGAAGTACTCTTTCCTCCATTTCAAGATAGACTTACATTCACAAGCAGATTCTTGGCTGTGGTTGTTTTGAGGCTAGAAAAACAATAGGTTGAGTTGCTTCCTCCAGGATAAAAAGTAATTAATATTAGGAAGGGTGAGTGTAGGTGATGGGCAGAGTGGAAACTTTAGTGATAAAAGAAAAAAGAGTAACATTCTACAGCAGTTTTCAACTGGAATGAGGCAAAACAGAGTATCAGTAGAAGATTGGGGCTGTGGAATTAAAACTAAATATAGAAAATTTGGAATCTGCTCTATATAGAAATCCCATGGTTGCTGTTACTGATAGGAGGGTAAAGAAAAACGAACTCTTTCTCCCAGTGTGAGAGAAGCCGGTCAAGGGAAGTGGAAATGCCCATGCATATCACTACCCTCGAAGTCTCCTGACTGTCACTCTGCCCCCTGCAGTATATCCTTCAAAACTACAAATAGCAAAAACAAAAAAACAAACAAACAAACAAAAAAAACAAAAAAAAAAGAAAGAAAAGAAAAGAAAAGAAACAGCCAGAGCTGAATTCTGCAACGGAAATACAGTGTGTACTTATGTAACAAAGGAAGTTGACAGTGTGATAAAGAAAACACAGAACAAAACACAATAAACAAGAACAATGACAAGGAATCCAAAAGCACTTACAAAGGTGATCTGATTCAGTCCTATCTCTGATTATAGGAACAATAAACTGTGAGCATAATGGGTGTGTACAGTGTTGCATGCATTTGCAGAGTCCTTGTGTACACGCACGGAAAGGCAGGGATTGGATTTAATAAACCAGCTGTCTTATCCCCATTGCCATGTGAATCTGCCTTACCAAACGTTCGTGTGGATGCAGGCTACAGTAGCTGCTAGACTGTGGAATATGGGAAGAATTGCCCAGCATCCCTCCATAGCCAGGCTGATTCATCCCACTGGAGGAGCTCCAAGGGTCACTGCTGTGATGGCCATCTGTAAAGGACAAAGAAAACCGTGACTTTTCTGAGGCGTTCAGACTTGCTTAACAGAATAGAGGTTTTTCATATACTTGAAAATGGCTGTCTCTTGTGCATTCATCTTTGTGTCAGTTAGCTGGTTACATCAGAAAGAAAGTCATCATTATTTTTCCCCAAATGACTGACTCTATATTGCTAAACAAACATAAATACTTAACATAGTAAAGTGTTCTTAGTAAAAAGCCAACTGTAAAAGAAAAACATTTCTACATGGAATTATGTTAAGACAGCAGGGCACCTAATGCTAAAGGAAAGATTTCTTAGAACTATTCTGATGCTACTTTCTGTGAAAACTAACCAAAAAGTTAAACTGTTTTTAAATTTTGGGGTAAAAAAATACTTGAGACATTACACAGTTGGCATGTCTACAAGTTTAAAAAGTATATAAAGAAATAAGTAATAATGAAAAAGAACATCTCATATTTAAGATTGAATTTCATTTTTGTAACATATACAGTAGACAGAATTAAAGTTGCAATTACATTATGACATATAGGAAAGAGAAATCTTGAATATATCATTCTGAGTTTTTGTTTCCTTTAAAAACATTTTTTGGTATATAGATATATGGCTATCTTAAGCCTTCAGTAGCAATTCAAAGAGTACACATCATAAAGTGCATAATGTCTACAGTCAATTTTGGGAGTCTGGATTTTATACAACTATCTATGAGTTTAAAAGAGGTTTAAATTATCTTTTTACATCAAGTTAATCTTTTTGGAATACCATATTAAAAACATTCCTATAGGTTCTCTGGGTCTATTGGCCTAGAAGTTACTATGGGAGAGGGGTTTTGTTTGCTTTAGGTTTCTCAAATTAGGGGGGAGGAACCCATGTTACTGCCGGTTCAAGTTTTCCTTACGTCACGTTTGACAAAAATCGCTGAGTGCCAGGTACATACCATGCCACCAGGTAGGTGTTAACTATATGGCAGGCATTGCTTTGTGAAAATAAGGTTATTTTCACCAGCCTTTTATTTAATAAAGGTCTTTTGAAAATGTAGGCAATAGGCAAGTTAAATCTAACACTGTATCTAATGAGCCTTCTTTTTTTCTGAGATTTTAAACTTAGAAGTTAGAATTCAGAAAACTGGAATAGTTTCAGGACAGAAAGGAATAATCTATAGATTTCTTAAGAACTATGCAAGCAAAATCAAGTCTGTGATCTTGATAATTTAGGAATTGTAACTAGAAGATGGAAATTAAAGTTAAAAATAAGAGGCTGCACCGTAGTAGGTTTAAAATATGCCCCTGACAGTCTCTGAATATCTTTCTCCTAACCAGCATGTTTCTCCAAGGCCTGAATTCCCGGGGCACCATGCACCCCTCACTGAAGGAAGCTGATGTGTAATGGGGCCACAGTGCACTGTTCCTGGGATGGTAATGTGAAAAAATCAGACTTTCAAAAAGTTATTATTCATCTACTTTAGATTTAGCCCTGAGATTGAGGAAGTTTAGATGTCACACATGAAGTTCAGGACCACTAACTTTTCAAATAGATGGCATATATGACGAATAAATTGAAAATATATATCATTAAAAAGGACTCTTGAAACATTTTGACAACATGAGGCACTATATGGAAATACATTTCGGATTTGTTAACACAGAACACTCAACCCAATGTAGACTCATAAAAATACGTATTTTACATAAATTATGCTTTTCACAGTAAATTAATATTTATCACATCCCATGATCTTGGCATAATGTTGTTTTGAAAGAATAGAATTAGACATGTGCAAATTAATTGTGCTCATCATAAATGTCAACTCAAAAAAATGTTTTGGCATTTTGAGTATTCATATGCAGAAAAGAAAATTTGTTTCCCATACCCTGCATGGTCTGCAGGGAGAAGAACCTATTGTTTTAAACTACCCCATCTCCTTTGCAGTGTGCAGTTTAAGCAAGCCACCTTTGTGAAGGTAGGCAGAAGAAATCTATCCTTCTGTCAATTTTCTCCATGAAAATCTGCTTTTAGTGACAAATCCTTGAGTTGATAATCTTTGTAAGCACCGTAGCACAACTAGCCACAAAAGAAGGTGCTGATGCCCATGTGGATATGGCTGCTTTTTATAGCTGAAGGGGAGAAGCCTTTTGTAATGGCACAGAACACACCCAAGTGACATGCCCTGGGGTGTTCCTATGAGAGTTACACCTAGGACAGGTCACAAAGATAAAGGGTCCCTGTGAACATGAGCTCCATTATGCATGGAACAAATTCTCTCTATTCCTGAGGGACCCATTCAATTCAATTTTATAGATTTTCCATGGAATTTTACAAGTGAGCTAATAACCTAAAAGAGCTAACACTCTGAAGGGAAAGAAAATAAATCCATTTTAATCAGAATGATTTTGAGTGTGTCCACTGTAATCTAAGCGAGACACCAGGCTGCTCCCCTGGCACCTGCAGCCCTAACTAGGCTCCCCTTGCTGTGACATGGCCCTTCCTAGAGTAGCGCAAGTAAGGACATCTCATGGCACTTGCCAAAGACACACTCAAACAAGGCTTCCACAGCCTGGCAGAAAGAGTTAAAGTTCTGCGTACAGGGGATCTCGGTCAATTCCATACCTGAATTTCAGAGTATTAACTTGGTAATATGATCACTGCGTTCTGACAGTAAATGTCACAGACACATCAGGAATGGAGCTTAGCTGCATCCTCCAAACTCTATTCTTACAGCCGCTGCTGTCATTTCAACCATCTTGGTCTTTTTTCAAGCAGTAGACAGGGGCTGTGCTATCAATGGCAAGACTATAAACTCAGGGACCACACATCCATGGTAATTTAGTCAAAGACACTGGCCAGTTAGAAAAATAAATATGTTTTTTCAACCACAAAGCTATAATATTCTGCATTTGTCGGGGAAGAAAACTGGGTGTTTTGCCCTACATCAATTAGCAAGCTGAATAAAGCTTTGGCTGTGATGAAATGATATTCCAGTTTTCAGATAGGTCACTTCATTGATCCAAATGAGATGCTTGTTCTTACCTATGAAACAATACGTGGCTAAAATTTTAATATAAAGTTATTTATAATAACAAGTTGTCCCCTGGTATGTTAAATCCAGGATGCTCAAAATATACACTGAGTCCAAACACTTCGAAACATATATGCACACTCTTCTTGAGGGTGAAGATGCTGAAATGATTAGTCATGGAAGACCATCCTCCAAGACATCGGTTCTTAGTAAAGCAAACCAGCCTAAGCTTAACTCATTGCTGCTGCAGGGGCTTTCATTTAAAAAACAGGTGTTAGTAAGTTTTAAGTCATTTATTTATTTGTAAGGAATGCATGACTGTCAGTATTCTATACTTGTCTACTATTCCACTTCTTGGGTATCAGTTCAGCAGTCACTTGCCTCATACATGGCATGACAAGACCCAGGAAGACACTTCGCAGTGATTTCTGGTTAAGAGAAGAGACAGCTTACCTTGCATGAAGAAGGAGCTAGGGAAAGTGCTGGCTGCTGGTTTCGAGGAAGGGTAGCCTGGCGAGTCCCTATTGTAGTCGGCAGTGCTTGCTGATGGAGCATAAACCTGAGGAAGGAGAGGCGATTTAGTTTGGCTGGCTGCATTGACCAAAGTGTTCAAGGTCCACAACGATATAAGAAGCAGGCACACAGTGCTAAATGTCTACCATTGAATGTGTACCATGTGCATTCTCAATTGATGAAAGCCTAGAAACACTTGTCCTTTCAGAAAAACAGAAGACAACCCCTTGCCCCCAAATACTCAGTACATTTGTGTGAATGGGAGACTTGGAGTGATATTTTCAAGTCACAGGCAAGAATATGTCTAGTTATAAATATGTTATATAATACCAATACGGTGATCGTGGGAGTTTAAATATCCTTTCTTTTTAAAAGCATAGGTGGCCCAAGAGTACATGAAAGGTAAAAACAGAAAGACATGCACCAAGCTTCTCCCATTTTAAAAAATTTTAACTTTTCTATTGCAGTTGGCATTCAATATGCTATTAGTTTCAGGTGTACAGCATAGTGGTTAGACATTTATATAACTTACAAAGCTTCTCCCCTTTTACTTTACCTTTTAATTAAAATTTTCACTTGTGAGAGAGAGAAAGAGAAAACAAATACACTATTCAAACCAAAGAAAGTGACAAATATGTCTTGGAATATTATTCCTATAGTGCCAGCTTTTTGCAGAGATGCATGGACAAGGCCACTAAGAGCCAGGTCTACACAGACCACCAACGATCAGTGTGCAAAGACGGGGGTAGCCCTCCTTTATAGTTCTTATTATATTTCTGTGTGCAGTTAACTTAAAAAGTGTGCCAAAATCCCAATTTGCTTACATTTGTTTACTAATACTCATGAGATCTGGGGAACTGGGTCTTTATAAAAATAACCAGTGTATTTTTCTCTTTAGATTTCCCTTAAAGACGACAGCATACTGGAAAGGCATAAATTCATAAGGTACAGTTTAACTGTAATTGATTTTCCCCTTGCCTTTTTTGCTAAGTATAATTTTTTAAATCCCCATTTTCGTTTTCTCCAGAAGTTCCTCTCTCCAGATGGTGGGGGACTGAGCACTGTCGTCCTCCTGAGGAAACGGAAACCTTCCTCCTCCATTTTGAAGCAGCAGCGCTCACAGAATTGGCAGTGAGCCCATGTGAGACTCACAGGTCACAGTACAAGAAAGAGAAATTCACCAATAAAAAGGCAACGGCAGGGTTACCAAAAAAATGAAATAAAATAACTCCCCCCCCTTTTTTACAGTACACATCAAATAAACACCCTCCGATAAATTATATAATTGCTCTCAGAACACCATGAATCACAAACTAAGTATTAATATAAGGTTTAGAATTTCACAAAGGATAGGTCCACAGAGAGAGATGTGGAAAAATATGCATACACATACATACATCAAATAAATGCTACATATGCCCCACAGTGCCCTTGAAAATTGGGAGGTCCTGGAGATTGAACAAAACAAAAACAAATCAGAAAAACCCATGTGCAATTTAGAAAACAAGGATTTTTCCTGCACCATGGTGGGAGAGAAGCCATATATTTCACAGGCTATATTTCATTTTCTTTTTAAATGTTCTTCATATTTTAAATGTATAAATAGCTATTGGCTTCTATTTTCAAAGGCCTTACAATAAGGGGGGAATTTTTTCAAATATATTTAAGGGACAAAAAATAAAACTTAAGCCAGGAATCCCCAAACAAATTAATACTCTCAGTTCTGCAAAGCAAAACCCAGTATTTTCTTGAGAACTATACAATTAACAGTTTCAAAATGCTCCTAAATGTATTCGGAGAAGGTCTTAAATGTAGGGTAAAAAGATAAAAGAAAACATTACCTTCTAGAAAAGGGGGAAATTGGAAATTAGATCATCTCATTCCAAGAAGAAGAGTATGAGCATAATATGACTATAATATATCTATCTACAGGCCATTAGCCTGACAGCTATTTGGCCAGCCAGTGTTAATATATAGTACTACGTGTTATCACCAAATTTCAGAAATTAATATATTTACTATAAAACTGAAAATAAACTCTAACTCATTACTAAACCATATTTTAAAATAATGGCAATAACTCACTTTAAGATAATAGTTGAGTTTTAATTACATATTTCACTACATTATCCTTAAACATGTACTAGTATATTATTATATCAACATCATTTGATTGTTCCTAAGAAGGTTAATTTTTCCCTCCTAATTTGTATGGAATTATTTGTTGTTTCTTTTGTGAAATAAGGTCAAAACTTTAGTAATTTTGTTCATGTATAAGGAAGTTACGTTGATTACCAACTATGATCAAGCTTAAAGATCTGTGGGTAAGATCATTTACTCCAAATTAATAAACGCTACCTGCATGAAAAAGAATATCGATGTGATTTAAAAAGTTCTTAGGGCATCTTATACCATCCAATTTGTTTTTCTGGTGCTGTAGCCAAATGACGACTCTTTAGACAAGACAGAAATCTTTGTTAACAAGAAATGGACCATTGTTTAATGGCTTAAAAAAAAGGAAATTTCTGCATCTTTTATAAATTTTCTTTACATCATAATGTAAAGATCAGGTATAATGTCATTTACAAACTTCATCCTTGTCACTGCAAAAGTTATAAATGCTCTATCTATTTGTTTATACAAATAAATATCACACAGAACGTATACTTTTAAAAGAAGAAGCAATAAAAATTATTTATTTTAGCTATAAGAAAATTTAATAAAGAAACGATCAAAGCAACTGCTAATAATATGTGACTTGATTAAGCTGCACCGCTATCAACTGCTCTTTATTTTCCACTCTTTAAAGTTTACTTTCTTTAAAAATAGAGACGGAGGTATCAGATAATATTGGTGAAAACAGAGTGATCATAATGTCCATACTCCAGTTATCCTTCATGTTTTCATCTTTAACAACCTAGATGATCAGTGAGCTGCTTCATTATTTTTAGTATAGTCAACTATTTTGCCAATTTCTCAACCAAAAGGCTTCAGAGGACAGGTTTCAATAAGGTGTTCAATAGAGATACTAAATTCAATAAGAAAAACTCATGTCATTTAATTTTAATTATTACTATTCTATGCAAATAGAAAAATGATGTACACATTTGTTAAATAAGGTAACTTTTTACTTAACAAAACAATAACCAACATCAAATAGTTGGAATCATTTTTAATGACTAACACCAGAAAATCAGTACAATGAAAAATAGAATTAAAATCCCAAACTCTAGTTCAATGTACTGAAGTGACTCTCCACGAGTGAAACATGAGGAAAGTCTAAAGGGAAACAAAAATCTACATTTAGTTTTTCTCTGATATGGTAGCTTAGATCAAGGTGACTTTTGGCATTCTGATTCCTCCCATAATAGTGACTGAAGAAGTGAAAAATTTTTGTTGCAAAATTGGGAATGGGGAGACTGGGCCATAGCTTATAGGCGACAGCCTTTTAATGAACAATTTGTTGAATAAAAGCTTCATAGAACACTAATAGCAAAGTATAGTTAATATTCAAAGTAAACACTACATCTTTTCCTTACAATCCTGAATTTAAATCAAAACCATGAATATAAAAATCCTGAGTTTAACAAAGCTCTCTAGATAAGATTAAACCCTGAACTGATAAAAACAACGAATGTTTTCATATTTACTTTTTGTTGCACCCGTAGAAGTATTACTATTGTACATTAGCTGTCCCATCCAATGGTCCTGATTATCCTTTGTGCAGCCATCAAAGAAATAATAATATGACACATGCTTTTAAACTAGAACCTCTGCCTATTAGAAAAGAAGAAAACTAAGCCAAAAAAAAAGAAATGAAGGGAGTGGCAGCTTCTACTTTTTATAAATTGAAATTTATAATTATCAATACAAGGCTTATTTGGCCATAGTTTGTAGAAATATTCTTGTGGGGTCTCATAATTACCTTTAAGAAAATAAGATATGATATGGTATATTCAGAGTGAAACTAGAATATGTTAATGGTATTTGCCTCCTGAAATGGGAAGCTAAACTGAGGAGATCAAATAAAGTGGCTACAGCTCATGTACAATGGGTGATAGACAGTGAATTACACAGTACACCTTTAACATTCCTTAACATTACTACCCCTTTGAAATTCTGCACATATCTCAACATATAATTTCCAAGGAGAACATATAATTTCCAAAGTTCAGAGTAACTAAGACAGTGTGATCAAAACTTTCAGACCCTTAAAAAATGGCTATATGCTCCACGGTGAATAGAAAAGAGCAAAGCAGAATTATGCCTCAGACTCCCAAGTGCCAGCGAGGCTTGCTTAGCAGCTCAGACCGTGGGAGATTTCACAAATATTCTGAAGTGTGGCAGTTAAACACTCAAATGCCAAGAGTTTGTAGTGTGTGCCTGATGTTTTCGGACCGGGGCATAAGCTTTGAAGCTTCCTAGCATCTAATGGGAAAAAGTTCTTAGATGATCAGCTCACACTACTCAGGCAACTAACTGGATTGGACCCTCAACTCTTACAATATTGTTTGAAGGACGTGGGTCACAATAAGAGAAAAGAACGGCCCAGGGGCGGTGATCCCTCCAGTATAGAAGACGTAAATGGACACTGTAATTGGTCTATGTGACCAAGTTAAAGATACTAGTATATTGCTAGCTGATCCATAAAGCGAGGGGAAGATGTACTTAAAAGAGACAGTCTCTCGGTAATACAGAAACAGGTTTGGCAGGATAGGAGAAATTACTCAACTCTGGAACCAGATCAACTCTTTTCAAATTCCAGCTTTCCCAATTAGTTGTGAGGACAAAACAAAGCAATTTATCTCTCAGAGCCTCAAGTTTCCTTTGTCAAATGAGGCCATCCTATTCTTATTGTGAGGATCAGAGACAATATCTATTCAGCATTAGTACTAACATATTGTAGTCACTCCATAAATGATAGTATTATTTATATCTTGTTGTAAGTGCTACTTATTGCTTATAGCTATTTTTAACATGTCTAGAATGGAGCTGTTCAATATAGTAGCCATTAGTACTATGTGGTTATTTGAATTAAGCTGAATT